CCGAGCATCTCTCACTCCATGCCCCGTGGCAGTTGCTGCCGACGCCGCTGGCAGTGGTGGCGTCGCCCGGCCGACAAAGGTGGCAGGCGAGTTGCGCACGCCCTGACGGGCCACCTTTACATGAGGGAGTGCAGTCTTGTGGGCCGCCCGGTGGCAGGCAGCTTCCGGTGAGGTGTCACACGACAGAGAGCGCGGTGGAGAGGCAAATCAGGGTGGTTGTTTTCTTCTTCCAAAATAAATGCTTGCTGCGCATGAAATGCTCGATCAACGGATGGAGTCATACCACCGCCTCCTCCGGCAAACGAGCAAGTTCTATGCTTTACTGATCTTCTCCGGCTCACGGAACTCTGGTCTAATGGCCGCCTTTAGAAAGGACCTGGCTCGAGCGCGGGAAATAACCGACTTGTTCCATGAGAGTTGTGTTGGGCTTTCAAGTGCTTTATAATTGCCGCGCATTATATAGCCGCGCTCGAGTGTTGAACTTCTTTCCTCATATATATCAAACTCATGGTAAACAAGTAAAAAAAATCAAGAGAGCTGTGTTGGGCTTCCGAGCTACAAAAACCTTTTGTAGAGTGTTTGGATGCTAACTTCACATTCTTCTTTTGGAAGCAAAATAGGCACAGCAAAAACGTGCGTACAATAAAAGTGATTTCCAGGGACCAAACTGCTAGGGTACAATTTTCTCTCGGGATTATCGCAGGCGTGCGTTTAAAACAGAACCTACGGGGCGGATCCCCTTCACTCTCACCCCCACCCCACTTTCTGCGCAAAGGAGCAGCTTTCCTACCCTAGAATCCCGGTCCCTGCCATGGCGGCGGCGGCGGGCCTCCACCAAGACGTTCTCGCCCGTATCTTGCTCCTCCTGTCGTGCATCGTGGACCGCGTCAGGGCGTCCGCGGTCAACAAGCACTGGCGGCGGGTCTCGCTCCAGAATCCGCCCCCGCTGCCGCGCCTCCTCCAGCCGTCCACGGCCCGGACCGAGACCTACCGGATCTTCGGCGGCTTCGTCGATCTGCACCCGTCCTTCTCTGACGAGGGCCGCGGGCCGCGTTTCTGCGGGTCTGCTCCGGGCGGCTGGTTCGTGATGTCATCCCAGCCCTGGCGCGGCCACGCGCTCCTGAATCTCCGCACCGGCGAGCGCGTCGCCCTGCCGGAGAGGGTGCGCATCACGTGCCCCATGATGATCCGCGCAGCCGTCATGTCCGTGGCGCCGCCGTCTGGCGCCTGCTTGGTCGCTGCGGTAACATCCAGCCAGACCAACCTGGCGTTCTGGCGGCCGGGCATGGATTGCTGGTTGTCAGCGCCGGCGGTAGGACCGGTTATGCGCAACGCCGAAGACATCACTTACCACGACGGATGGTTCTGCGCCGTCGAATCAGACGATGACCTCGTCTGCTACAAGCCGGAAATCGCCCATGCGGAAGACGGCGCCCCTTCGCTGACCATTCGACATCACGCCTACAATCTCCATGTCGATGGTCACCGGACGGCACCCGGGGAGATGGTCTCCCGCTACCTCCTGCCCTCCGCTTCCGGTGCCGATCTCCTGATGGTGAAAAGATTCATCGCGCCGGCGAGAGGCGGCACCTGCCGGTTCCAGGTCTTCAGGCTGCAGGAGGGACTGCCGGCTTCCTGGCGCCTGTACCAGATGAGCGGGCAGGTGCTCTTCGTCGGCCGGGCCTGCTCCAAGGCCTTCTACACGGGGCACGGCGGCAGCCCGGGCTATATCTATTTCCTCGACGACGTCTACACCGGTGGTCCGCACAGTGTCACCCAGCAGAACGAGTATCCCTGCGTCAACGCCGGCGGGTGGTGTTACTCAGTCCCCGACGAGATCCAGCGCTGCCTGCCATGGTTGCCCCCCTCGGACACCTCGCCGTGCATTTGGTACCACCATTAAATTAATTGTGCGACCAACAGCAGGTTCAGTTCGAGGCATCACATCATAGAGATTTCCATCAGTTAACTAGAGTCTTTGTTGTTTGTGTTTGCTCCTCGAGTCTTTCTTTGTTGTTGTAGTTGTGTCGTCGTCTTGTTATTCAGTTGGTTGTATCCTCCAGGTCAGTATTTGTTGTATGTCGTCATTGTCGTGAGTTAATTTGCAGTCTGTATATATGTTGTTTAAATTATGGGTATGAGTTTCTGGTGTAAATTCTTCTTCACATTTTCAGTTTTCCACCGTATTTTCAGTAGTGCACACAATTTCTGTCTGCATCTGTCAGTGGCAGAGTTGTTTTTCATGATGGGTCCGACGCTCGACCCTAGCTTGCCCTAGATCCCTTTGGTTGCTCTTTCTCTCACTGGCTCGAACCGAGGAAGAAGAAAGAAGGAGGGAGACACAGGACACGGTGGTTCCGGTGCACGAACGCCCGCCGTACGAACGGCTTCTTCCTCGAGCACGAACTCGAATCCACTCATATAACAGTACACGGAGTGGAGTTTTATACGCAGGCGCGCCCACACGATGCCGCGCTCCCCACTTCTCCATGCCCGCGCGCTCCGCACGCCATGGCTCACGCCAACAGAACGCCGCGGTCACCCCCGCTCTAGCGCTAACTAACCCACGCATCAAGTGCGTGCACACACGCACACCCCGCTCCACACAGCACGCACACACACAGGACATACACAAGTCGGACTATACCTGTACAATGGTAATACCATACCAAGACGGAGGCTCGGCGCTGCCACGGACCGGACCTGGCGCGCCAGACGCCGGTCACCACCGTGGGGACATGGCTTATTGCTCCAACATTTCATGTATCCCCTGTTTGCATTACACGTTGATGAGATGATCTGCAACTGAATATTGGATGTCCAGCCGTTCAGGTGAATATTACTGATTGTATGTTGAAGACTCTAATCTTTATTAGATGACCGTTCTTCATTCACTTCTCAGCTGATTGTTTGATGTGTTTCAGCTGCCTATACTTATCACATCATCGATGTGGTTGTCCTTGAAACTGGAAGTTCAGTATCTAGTTTGTTGTATGTGCTTAATTTGAAGGCTTTTTCGAACACATTTCATCTATGAAATTGTGAAGTATTTAGACTGCTACTAGCTACCTATATACAGGTTTTTTGATTTCTATATGCTTCTCTTTTTCTTTTCTGGCTTCCTAGTATTTGAAATATGTGCGTATGATTTTCTTCTGTAAATTCTCTAATCCAGATTTTGATATGTTCCGTCGTATTTTCTTCTGACTATATCGTATCATTGCATCTCGGCAGTGGCAGAGGTGTTTTTCATGTCTCCCGTTTTAGCATTGAGACGAGAGGATCTGCAACTGAATATTTGATGTTTGTTTAATTAGGTATACAGCAACTAGTACTGAATATATGTTAAATTATCTATTCTTTGCATGACCCTTCTTCACTTCTCAGCTGAATGTTTGATGTGTTTTAGGGGCATATACTTATTATATGTTTTCCATTTATCCCACTGATGAAACCTCACTTCCTTGAATACAAGATCGTAAATGGGCACTGGGCACACTGCAGATAAAAGTTACGATATTACATTGGAGTTCATTATCAAGCTGATACATCTAAGCTATACACGTGGTATGTTTACTATGCCCTTGTGGCGCCGTAAATTGTATCTAGGAAGAGCATATATACATAGCCAGAGCAGACTGAGCCAGACCAAATGGGATAGGCTCTGGTTCACTTAGGAGAAAATTTCCCAGGTTCATGTAGAACCAATTAACTTTTTATTTTATATAACATGTAAATGTATTTTTTTAATTGATTGTGATCTACAAGACCATCAAAATGAAAGAAGAGGTTCAAGGATGAACACATGCTAAAGTTTATGTTTTCTTGTTAGTAGCATTTAAACGATTGTTGATGCATCTTACTAGTTTAATAATCATTCATCAACTTGTCTTCTCTCCTAAGCTAACAATGTTATGAGGTGAGCCTCAATGTCATGGTTTATTTTTGCATCCTATCTTCTAATCCTACAATCCAGGATGGGGAACCAACACCCGGTTGTTAAATCTCTGTTGCTGATGTAGTACGGCTGGCATACCAAAACCATCTAATTCCACTATTGCTATAGCTACTCCACAAAGGCGTGTTAGCAAAGAGAAAGTCGTGGCCAAGAGCATGGTGCAATTCAATGCATGAAGGAAAGCTAGACAGTACATATTCACTACAAACCCAGTTATATATTTGTCGTGTGGCTGCTCAGTAGATTTACAACACCTCTGTTATCACGAAATCGGCCGGATCCCATGCGGAGTACCGCTGGGAGCAGTAATGGTGCTATGTCCGAACTGTCCTAGTATTGGCGACACCGTGACAGTTCATGAATTTCACGATCACATGAATGCTTTTCCGCTGTCGTGCCTTTGTATTGTGGAAACTCAGATTGCACTCAATCGAGTGGGAGGTTTGGCTGGTACACTTGGTTTTGATTCGACCTTTGGTGTTGCAAGTAGTGGTCATAGTGGTCCAGCTTTGTAAATTTATTTTGGGAAGAATGATGCTAACATGGAAATGAAAAAACTCAGGAAATTTAGTAGCAGTAGTACTATAGTAGTAGTATAGTAGGTGGGGAACGAATGGAACTGCCAGGGAGGTGCACCCATTTTTGAAAAAAAGGTAATTGCATAAATGGTCAAAAATCATTAAAAAATTTGGCAAAAAACTTGCTCAAGCGTTACAATTGCAAAATACAATTTGCGAAGAAATGACCTCCTTTCTATTGTTGGCGCCAAAACAAAATCAGCGGTATATTAGAGGTACTATTGAATCTATATTGTTCTGGAAAATTTGTTTTATCGCTCATATTTACTCCCTCCATCCGGTGAAGAGTGTACATCTAGCTTCAAAATTTGTCCACAAAAGAGATTACTTCTATCTTCCCAATGAACTTTAAAGTAGAAAAAAATATTTCTCTCTCATCACACAGTAATCAAGACCAATAGCAATCTATACATGGTCTTTTTAATTTCTACATGCACTTAGTTCATTGGGGGTTGGATAATTAAAGAGTTGAGAGATGGTGGCTTGCACCTTTTCAATGCATTTTTTACTCAACTCCATAATATTTGTCCTAAAATTTCTAGATGTACACTCTTCACCAGACGGAGGGAGTATTGCGGGAGTTTTTCTTTGTCGAATATACGAGTACGGCAGTAGGTCAAGTATGTTTAAAAGGTTTCAAATATTTTTGACTTTTTCTGAATTGCTAAAAAAAATCAGGATAAGTTTTTATCAGGTTCACCAACAACTAGGTATATCAAGGTATTTTTCCTAGTATCGTAGTACTAGTAGTTGTTATTGTGGTCGTTGTATGTATGAATTATGTATATCAAGGTATTTCTATACGCTTCTCTTTATACTGGCTCCTAGTTATGTTTAAGATTTTATGCTATAAATTGTACTTGAGAATTTGAGATCCATTTAGGTGCTGAAATCGTATCTTCAGTAGTGAACGCAATTTTCAATTGTATTCCATGATTGCATCTGTCCGTGCCAGAGGTGTTTTCCATGTTTCCCATGCATGGTTGCAAGTAAGAACCAGCACAATAGATGATCTGCATCTGAATATTTTATGTGTGTTTAGGCATACAGTAAGTAATGGCTGCTGACTGAATGTTGTAGACTCCCTTCTTGACTTCTTAATACGTTTCCAACAAATTTCTCAGCTGAATGTTTGATGCTTGTTCACGGCATATATTTATTGTATGTTCTCCATTTATACCATTGAAGAGAACTTATTCCTCTCTTCATCTCTTGCTATTCTCGGGGAAAAATGTCTCGCTGGCAATATGAAAGGACAAAGAAAATCTGACATTATATTGGAGTTCATTATTCAACCGACTTTCGTGGTATGTTGACTGTACCCACATGGGTCTGGCGTCCAATCTTTATAGCTGGGAATATGCACACATAGCCACACCAAATGGGACATGCCGACTCACTTAGGAGAATATTTTACATGATCATATTCATCTATGTGTCCTCCATAAAATGGGCTCTATAAGATCCCATGGAGTAGAAATCTAGAGATCATTCAGCTGACATGATCCAATTCGCCATTGGAATCACCTTTTTATTTTAAATATTACAGAAATGTATTTTTTGTTGTTGCAAATAGATTGTGATTTGCAGCCCTACCGATGTAAAAGAAGAGCTCCAAGGATGAACATGAGCTAAAATGTATGATTTTCTTGTTAGCAGCATTTAGATACTATGTTTTGGGCATAGTAAGAAACTCACGTAATTAAGAGGTAAATGCAGATACGGTAGACATTAATTCCATTTAAAGCTGATATCACACGACAGTGGTGCCTGCACTTGACCTCCATCGCCTCTTTAGCAATTTGAGGAATATCCTGTGAAAAAACAATTTGAAAAATATTCATTTAGAAAAGTACTGGAATCAAAATAAGCACACATCATGCATGTTATGTGACCGTTGATGCATCTTAATAGGTTAACCAAGATCATGCATGGTGCAACTGAAGGAAAGGAAGGGCTAGAAGGTTCACTATCCTATGCAGATTAGGTGGCGTGTTGCTGCCAAGGGAAACTACATGTAGTCATGCGACTGGTCAGCCATTATACGAGGTCACACGCGTTGACGGCATAACATGGAGCTACATAGCTGGTCGGCAACTTGCACAAATACATGACTAGCTACAGCCATGCGTGCGAGAGAGAGCTAGTTCGGACAAAAGATAAGCAAGCGGAGAGACATGGATTTGGTTTGGAGGGAAAATGATATACAAGAAGCTTCTCCTTTAGACCGACCATTATTTGTACTACCAGAAAGGCATTAGGGCGTCTCTAACGGCAACCCGTAAATTTTCTCCCACATCCGTCTACAGACAGGACTGTACCAGTCCGCGGACACGGACGCGGGATGCCTCCATCCAACGCTACCCA